ATGTTAAACAGGACTGGCCCCAGCACTTAAGTGCAAGTTTTCCTTCCATCATGTATTCCGTGTTGGTCAGCTTTAGTATGTCGGTTGAAAATCTTTAGCTAGGTGGGGAACATGAAAAGGACTAATTGAAATGGATCATTCTCCTATTTCAACAGGAAATAATGGCCAGATCCAGTTGTGGCAGTTCTTATTAGAACTTCTGACTGACAAAGATGCCCGGGACTGTATTTCTTGGGTTGGTGATGAAGGAGAGTTTAAACTGAATCAACCTGAACTAGTTGCGCAGAAATGGGGACAGCGCAAAAACAAACCCACGATGAACTATGAGAAGCTGAGTCGGGCTTTGAGGTAAGGAGCTTCAGGGGCTGGGCAGCTATGAAGTGATTGGCTTCCACTCAGATACTTTGTTTTTAATTGTCATCCTGCAAGCTTTGTGGCTTTTCTAGTAAAGACATGAACAGATCCTCTGAAGCTACTCCTCCCTATCAGCTTGTATGAGTCTTAGGGGAAAGGTGTTGGCTTTTTTGTTGACTTTTTTTTTTTTAAAAAAAAAAAAAAAAAGAAGCTGGTACAGTAACTTCTGGAAAATATATTTTCTTTTTTCAAGTTTATCAAACACTGAGATGATAGTTGAGTATCTCACTTTCCGAAATACATTTCTTTTTGATGTATCTTCAGCATTCATCCTTTCAGTGTGTGCCAAATAATATTGTTTATTGGTGAAAGATACAGAAATAGGTGAGTACCCCTGAATTACTGACGTGTTTTACAGTTTGTTTGTGAACTTTTATCATCTGAATAAATGGAATAATTTCAGGCTGTCTTCATTCCATCATGAGTTTGTAGCTTGACACTGGTGAAAGGAATTTGTATCATTGAGTCATTGTAGATGAGGTGCTTGAGGAGGGACAATCCAAGTACCTGAATTTTAGACTTTTTTCCCCCTCATCATTTTGGCCTCTGGAATCAGTTAAAAGATTTACTGAAGTTCTCTGAAATCATTAAGACTGAACTGATTTCTTACTTGGATATGGTCAAATCTGTTTCTCTTGGTTCGTTTTCAAGAAAGGTATTTATTATGTAATCCTACAAATTATTTAAGCACTTTTAGGCTCTTTGTCCGAGTGAAGGTGCATATTGGTGGAAGCCTGAGATTTGAGCTTCACTTCTCAGTATTTCCACTTCGGGCTATGTTTGTTTTTTTTTTTTCAAAGGGAGTAAACTCATCTAGCATTGTTTAAAAAAAAATCAAATTTTGCTTATACCTCTGTGAAAATGATTGTAAAGTTACCATGTTCTGGCTTTTTTTAAGGAGGGTTTAAGTAACATCAACATGCATAATGCTGAGTGAGGACTTTAACTGGGGGAGGTTGAAGTCTAGAAGACCATGAATGGCATAGAGTCAGTAAAGAATGACTCCTCAGTATCTCATTTACATGAAGAGGAGGCATCAGAAGAAACTAATCAGGCGCCAGATGCACAGCTCAACTATTCCCTTTAAATTCTTTTGTAACTTCTTGAGGCACAGTATTGTGGGTGCCAGAATTATTTTATTGAGTTTGAGAGGAAATGGAACAAATTTATTTAAAAAAAATATATATATTTTGAAGGTTATTAGGTATGGAAAGATGCAACTTCTAGAAATTCCTGAGCCCCAGGTCATTGAAAGCAAGGAACAGCATAGATACATGCCTACTCTGCTTCCATGCTCTTTAGGCATCCTTTTATGGTCTGTTAGAGTCTGTGTCCTGTTCTAGATAGATCTTTTTAGTATGATCTTGCATGGCTGCCCTTGTGTAATTTGCGTATGAAATTAGGATGTTGGCCTTTGTTGTAGGATCACAGAATCCCTTGGGCAGGAAGTACTTCAGGTGGTCTGTGCCCAACCTCCTGCCCCAAGCAGGGTCTTTCCAGTAGAGGTGTTCCCCAGTTCCCATATTTCCAACCTGTTTTTGTGAATCTGCGTTTGTGTGCTGAAGGTATATGTGTGAACTTTCTGGAGCATAAAAATGATGTAAATTATGCTGATGGGTGGTTTTGGTTTTGTCAGCGAACTCCACAGAAGATCTCAAAGGCAGCTGAAGAACTTTAAAATAATGTTCTTATCACTGGGATATTAAACAGATGTCTATGCAGTAATTTGCATAAATCACTATTAGAGAAGTTTTGCATGTATATTTTAGTTCATAGAATTACAGAAATCACATTTCTCAAAACGTTGCCATTTTGGCAGCTGCATCAGTATTGACATGTTTTCTAACACTTGAATGTCTGAAGGGATATTTAATGACTCTTGCTACTCCCATGATAAATGCTGTTGCCAAGCTAAAGTTTTATTAAATGGTAATATGTTTTGTTTACTAATGTACTGAAATTACTGTGCCAATTGTAGATTAATACAGAAAATTATGTTGATCTCATTGAGAAGTGTACTAGCTCTTCTGCACAGCTGTAGGAAAACCAGCCAATATAGAAACTAGGGCAGGGTGAAGAGCAGCTTTTTTTGTTAGATACACCTTGGTAAATTTTCAAAAATCAACACCTGGTTAGTTATCCAGTAGAGAAGTGTGGCTTGAAGAAAATAATTAATTTCCTGTATTATTAGCATAGAATGATTTGGATTGGAAGGGACCTTAAAGATCATCTAGTCAAACTCCCCTGCAGGAACATCCCCAACTAGGTCGGGTTGCTCAGGGCCCTATCAAGCATGACCTTGAATGTCTCCAGGGATGGGGCCATCACCACCTCGCTGGGAAACCTGTTCCAGTGTTTCACCACCCTCATAGTAAGAACTTCCTCCTGATGTATAATCTAAATCTCTCCTGCTTGAGTTTAAAAACATTGCCCCTTGTCCTTTCACTGCATGCCCTTGTAACGAGGCCTTCCCCAGCTTTCCTGTAGGCTCCCTTCAGGTACTGGAAGGCCAACATAACGTCTCCTTGGAGCCTTCTCTTCTCCAGGCTGAACAACCCCAGCTCTCTCAGACTGTCCTTGTAGGAGGGGTGCTTCATCCTTCTGATGATCTTCATGGCCCTCCTCTGGACCTACTTCAACAGGTCTATGCCCTTCTGTTGGGGGCTCCAGAGATGGACACAGTACTCCAGGGGGGGTCTCACCAGAGGTGGAGGGGGAGAATCACCTCCCTCGACCTGCTGGCCATGCTTCTCTTGATGCAGCCCAGGATACAGTTGGCCTTCTGGATTGTGAGCACATATTGCTGGCCCGTGCCCAGCTTCTCATCCACCAGTACCCCCAAGTCCCCCTCTGCAGGGCTGCTCTGAGTCCACTCATCATCTAGCCTGGATTTGTGCTTACTTAATTTTCTTAATGAGAAATATGACGTGTGTTCTATTAATTGCCTGCAGTGAGACAAGAACAGCAACAAATCTGTAAAATTGTAACTCCTGTTTTATTGACATCACCTAAAGTTTTATGATTTCTCTGGAGTACAGTGGGTCATATAGACTTTATTATCTTTACTGCATTTCTGCTCAGTCTAGTAATTATTTTGTAACACAATGTAAAAAGTATTGATAGTTAGAGCTAAGTCACTTTTAGTTGTAAATAAAGGCAAAGGATGTAGCTTTGCCAGCATATGAACTCAAAGAAAAACCAAAAAAAAACCAAAACAACCCTCTAACATGCTTTTATAGTTTTCCTTCCATCTTTGAAAGCAGTATGGAGACAATGGCTGCTTTAGTGTTGTAGAAACTACGATGCTAATTTTAAAACTGTTTTCAACATTAATTTTTTCCTTGGAAAGAGGAGATGAGTAAACAAAGCAAAGGACAATAATGATGGAGGAGACAACTTTTTTTTTTTTTTTTTTGGTAGTGCTTTGCATTAATAAGAACTGCTCTGAGACCTTCATTTCTGAGCTGGTGTTTCTGCCTGCCTATAAAATAATTGCCATTTTGTTTCTCCTTAATGTACCCAAGTGCAGGGCTATTTTCAACCCTGTTCCCTTTCCTCCTACTAGCAAATGCAGGAATGGTGTGTTGGTATATACAACTATATGGAAACGTTGAGAGAGACTTGTATTTTGGCCTTAAGTAAATAATGGTTGCATATTGAAGGTACAGATGTTGAAATTTACTACTTGGGTTCTTTTTTTTACAGGTATTACTATGATGGAGACATGATCTGCAAAGTGCAAGGCAAGAGGTTTGTCTACAAATTCGTCTGCGACTTGAAAACCCTCATTGGCTACAGCGCAGCAGAGCTGAATCGGTTGGTCACCGAATGTGAGCAGAAGAAGCTGGCCAAGATGCAGCTCCACGGCATCGCACAGCCAGTCACAGCAGTGGCCCTGGCTACAGCATCCCTGCAAACAGAGAAAGATAGTTAAGCACTAGGACCTGGAAGTGGGAGCCTGAGACCTTTCCTGCATCAGCAGAGCAGTTGCTGCTCTTCCCTTTATCTGAATTGGAAAAGTCTTTTGTTTCTTGACAGTACAATATAGAGCATGATTTTCTATAAAGAACTGGGAGTCTCACAAATTTGGATCTTTTAACAGCATATATTTCGATGTAAGCTAAGGGATCACCACAACTTCTGCAGCTTTGAGTCGGGGCCTCTCTGGTGAGCGATCTGAAACTGGTGGGGAAGGTTGGGCTGGTCGGCAGCGCTCTGTGTCCCAGCTGTGCAAAGTCACTTTTGCAGCACTCTTAACAAAAGTGAGGTACCTCCAGCGAGCAGGCTGAGCAGTTGTCTGAACTCAGACCTTTCCAGTCTTTTGTCCTCTGCTGAACTACCGAATGCCATGAGATGCTTTCAAAGTTAAACGTGTTCGTTGTTCTCATTTAGTCAAGCAGAGCCAAAAGACGCGCTAAATTACCAAGCATCGGGCTCTTAAAATAGCTTCTGCATTTATAAGCAAAGGAAACTAAGACTAAACTGAACTGAAGGTGAGTGCTGAAGGAGGAGATCCAAGTTTAGGTCTGGCTTGGATGAGAAGCCAATTACAAGTATTTCATTGTAATATGTAGATAAAACGCATATATGAGGGCAAGCACGTACCCGTTTTGAAAGACATTGTTAACGCTAGCCATTTAGCAAACAGCAAAGGTAAGCTGCTTCCACTACCCCCCCCACTTCAGGTGATTTGAAAACTTGAAAAAATAGCCCTCACCCAAAGAGTAGTTTATTTTGGTGGGGGGGTTTTAGTGCTCTGATCTGTAAGGTGCTTATACCTGCATAGTAGTCAACCTTGGTAATTGAAGACGTAAGTTAATCACAGTCAGTAGTCCCTGTTTAGAAACAAAATGCAAATTGAAAATAGTTTTACAGGAAACATGAAGTTTGCCTTCCAGATTATTGCACAGTATGACATATAAAACACAAAGATGTATTTTTTTATTTTAAATTAATTTCTTTCTGAACTTCAAGTGACTTTTTGAAGGTCCATTAAGCCAAATGCATGCTCCAGCCAGAGCTGGGTGCAATTTGAAGTCCGGATGGTGATTAGAAATAATTGGAATGTATCCTGAATTCTGAGCTATGGAGAGTAAGTACTTCATGCAAACTTACATATGTAGTAAAAAGTAGGCTGCCACTTTGGGGCTTTTTTAGTGATGCCTATTACATTGTTGCTTTTGATGGCTGAAAATGGTGCAATTTTGGTTTTGTGTTTGCCCCTTCATGTTATTAAACAGTATATTATGTCACCATGCTTATTATCCAACTTTTTGTAAGTGAAGGCCCCTCTGGTAACACCCAACAATTGAAATGCAAATAGATAAGATGAAAACTTTTAATTCTGTGAAGGATCGAGCTACTTGTAAACCTTAAATCAGAAGTGCTTGTACAGTGAAGTTCTAAACGTAGGATGTGTTTATACTGGGGAGCAAGAGCACCGAGCTGCTGCTCCTCTTCTGAAAAGCAGCAGTCATGCTTCCAGGCAGAGGGCAAGGAACTCGTGTTTGTTTTAAAGATACATTGAGGACAGAGCTTTTTGTTTATAGGTGAGTGTTCATCTGCAGATAGGTTTTGCTGAACTAGAAGTCTTTCATGTTGTTATAGCCTACTTTTTTCATCATCACCATGATTAGAAAGTTTCTTTTGGCCTGATTCCTTCAGTAGCTCTTAATTGTTTTAATTCTTGAACTCTTGAAGCACTCCTTCTACTAAGCATGCTGGTCTTTGTTTTTAAAAAGATCTTAAGCCATGAGCAAAATTGATAAATGCACCTGTCACAAGAGGTCAACCATCAGTTGATTACTGCTTATTGTTACTGATTACTGATTTATTACTGTTACAGTAGTCTATTTCCACCAGTTGGCGAGTATTTGAGGTGACTTGTGCAAACAGATGCAGGTTTGCTGACTAAGAACAAGAGAAGCTGGTAGTTTGGTGGCAGCAGATACATATGGAACACCACTCCATTGCTGAACAGAAGTCCGATACAAGTCACTGGTTTTATTTGGCAGAGTTCATGAGAGGCCTCTGTAGTTAAAGCTCAGTACAGAAAGAAGAGCAGTTTAAAACATCAGCTTTCTAGATCAAACCGGACTGTGGGAGGATAAACTAACATCGTTTGAAATGTAGTATCATCAGTACTTTATCCCCTTGAATGTTCCTGTTACATTATGGGGAAAACTTCTTATCTCACGCTTTTCTTTGTAAATATGTCCGATGATTATTTTGCAGCTTTTCAGTAGGTCTGATAGTCCTTTGGGTTCTTTGTTGTGGAGTAATCTGCTTTTCTGGTGCATTTATTTAGTAAAGAAGGAATCTTTTAAATGGTATAAAATCACTGTCACCTTCTCTGTAGTTGAGGGAGAAATCTGTGACTAACTTGATGTCTTCAATAAAATAAAAGATGTAGAATATATTGTCAAAGGTTGTTCTGTTGCTGCCAGAAGGAAAACATAGAAAGAATATTCCCAATTTTTTGTAAAACGGAAGGTTTTTTGCATACTTTTTACTCTTTAAATAAAGACACTTATACTCTGCTAATAATTATGTATTTCTTTCGTGTTTTGCATTTCTTTGGTAATTTTACATGAAACAATTATTTTCTATTTTTACTCTAAAATATTTGTGCATAAAATGTCAATATAGTAAAATAAAAATGTTATACAGCTAACGCCTGTTGACTTCTTAATTTCTCAGAAAGCTGTTTGTGATGCCATCCATGTGCAACCAGCTTAAAGACGAATACGTGCACTTCATCGTCATTAGTCTCAAGATCACAAGCTCATTACAGGAGCCAGGCAGACTTATTTTCTGAAGATGCATCTTCTTTGACTCACATGGCTGTGTGTTTCTACTTTTAAACTGGAACTCGGTGTCCTTCATGAATGCAACAGCTTTGACATCTTAATTTTGAAGTTTAAAATGGTGCTTTGATAAAAATAATGATGGGAACTGAATAGTGGGAGAGAATGCAGCCCCACTTACTTCCTGTGGCCCACTAACTCAGTTGTTTGTACTGCCCTTGTTAAAAAGAAGGTGCACAGTTTAAAAAGCTGCCAGGTACCAGCTTAGGAATGCCAAAGCCCTGATAGAGTTAAATCTGGCCAGGGATGTCAAGGGCAACAAGAAAGCCTCCATAGGTAGGTCAGTGATAGAAGGAAGGCTAGGGAAAATGTAGGCCCTCTTGGGAAGGAAAGAGGACACCTGCTTGCCTGGGACGTGGAGAAAGCTGAGACAGCACTCAACGATGACTTTGCCTCAGTCTTCTTCAGCAAATGCTCCAGCCACACCACCCGAGTCACAAAAGGCAAAGGCAGGGACTGTGAGAAGGAAGAACCACCCACTAGAATACAAGTTCAAGACCAGCTAAGGAACCTGAAGGTGCACAAGTCCATGGGACTTGAGATGCATCCATGGGGTCCTGAGGGAACTGGCAGATGAAATGCTAAGCCGCTTTCTATCGTATTTGAGAAGTCATGGCAGTCTGGTGAAGTTCCCACTGACTGAAAAAGGGGGAAAAAGGAAGACCCAGCAAACTACAGTCCAGTCAGTTTCACCTCTGCACCCAACAGAATCATGGAACGGATCCTTCTGAAACTGCGCTAGGGCATATGGAAAATGAGGTGGCTGGTGGCAACCTACATAGCTTCACCGAGGACAAATTGCGCCTTGACAAATTTGGTGGCGTTTTACAATGGAGTTACAGTGATAGTGGGTAAGGGAAGAGCAACTGACATCATCTACCTTGGCTTGTGCAAAGCATTTGACAGTGTCCTGCATGACATCCTTGTCTCTGAATTAGAAAGATGGGGATTTGATGGATGGACCAGTCAGTGGACAAAGTATTGTCTGGATGGTCACAGTCAAAAAGTGTTGTAGTCAACGTCTCGATATCCAAGTGAATGGCTTTATATCAAGTGAGGGAGTGGTGTTCCTCAGGGAATGGTACTGGGACTAGTGCTGTTGAATATCTTTGTTGGTGACACGGACAGTGGAATTGAGTGCGCTCTCAGCAAGTCTGCAGATGACACCAAGTTTTGTTGTGTGGTTGACATGCTAGATGGAAGAAATGCCATCCAGAGGGACCTTGACAGGCTTGAGAGGTGGGCCCTTGCAAACCTTATAAAGTTCAAGAAGGCCAAGTGCAAAGTCCTGCACGTGGGTCAGGGCAAAAGCGCAAAACACAGCACAAATACAGGCTGGGGGATGAAGGGATTGAGAGATCCCTGCAGAGAAGGACTTGGGGATGTTGTTGAATAACAAACTGAATGTGAGCCAGAAATGTGCACTCACAGCCCAGAAAGCAAATCACTTTGTGGGCTGCATCAAAAGAAGCATGGCCAGCAGCTTAAAGGAGGTGATTCCCCCTCTCTCCTGCAAGGACCTTTACATGGATCTGTTGGAGTGGGTCTAGAGGAGGGCCACAAAAACGAGCAGTGGGTTGGAGCACCTCCACTGTGAGGACAGGCTGAGAGAGCTGAGCTTGTTCAGTTGGGAAAAGAAAAGGCTCTGGGGAGACCTTACAGCAGCCTTCCAGTACTTAAAGGGAGCCTACAGGAAAAGATGTGGGAGGGTCTTCTTACCAGGGAGTGTGGTGATAGGATGGGGGAGTAACCATTTCAAACTGAAAGAGGGTCAGTTTAGATTACAAGTGAGGAAGGTATTCTTTACTGTTGGGGTGGTGAGACTTTTGAACATGTTGCCCAGGGAGGTTGTGGATGCTCCATCACTGGAGGTGTTCAGGACCACCCTAAACTGTTCTATGATTCTACGTTTCTAGTATAAAATTCTGATTATAATGTTATTACCTTATTTTTACACTGTTTCAATGGAAGTATTCATGTTATACCTCTGAACTCCTCCATCTGGACTGCCAAATTCAAGACTGAAATATTTTGTCATCTGTAAACCTACCGGATCACTTCATTTCAAAATGTTTATGTTTAGCTCAGCAGCAATGGCATGAAATGGACTAAAAATAAGTTTTCAGCACATTCCGATAATGTGTTGGCCTTTTAAAGTACGCTTAGAAATGTTCAGTATCTTATTGAGGACCTTTTGTTTGCTTTTATAGTTATTCGTACCTTTATGTCAGTGTGAGTTTGTTCTGGGATTCCCATTCTGGCACTGAAATTTTTATTGGAACAATATAGGGAATTACAAACTAACGGCTCACAATTATCCCTTATCCATCTTAAGCAAAAGAGACTGACACGGGGCTCCATTCTCTGCTCGTGAAAGGATGG